CAGCTGAAGAAGGCGCTGACGGAGGTCGGGTTCATCTACCTCGTCGGCGTCGAAGGCTACGACGAAGAGGAGCTGCTGCGCCTCACCAAGTGGTTCTTCAGGTGATTTTCTGTTTTTTTTCTGTTTCTCTTTCTCTCTTCTCTTTCGCTGTTCTTCGTTTTCTTTTCTCTGTGTTTTTTGTTTCTGTTTGTGTGTCTGTGTGATTGATTTTCTGTGTGTTTGTGTGTCTCTGTCTCTCTTCTCCTCTTTCACACTTTCCTCTCTCTCTCTTCTCCTCTCTCTCTCTCTCTCTCTCTCCTCTCTCTCTCTCTCTCTCTCTCTCTCTCTCTCTCTCTCTCTCTCTCTCTCTCTCTCTCTCTCTCTCTCTTTTTGTACCAGGAGCACAAGAACCCGCAATCTGTATGCTCAAGTATGGTTATCAGTGTGTATCATAACATAAGCTTGTAAATACTTCTAAACAAGATTCTTATCTCTCAAGTGTATTCTAAATAGCAATTTTATCAATAATAGTGTTTTATGAACTGTTGGACTGTGTGTGTGTGTACGTGTGTGTTCTGTGTGTGTGTACACATGTATATATACATATATATACACGCATACGCACATGCACATACACTCACACACACATATGTATAAGTGAGTGTGTGTGCGTGTGTATAGGTTTTATTTCTTAGTAGAATCCTTATTTTATTTAGTGGAAAATCTAATTGCAAGTAGTTAATCAAGAATGCAGTTCAATTTCTTTTTTTCTACTTTATATTGCTTATAATTAGTTTATCTATGTGATTGTCATCTTTATATACGTTGATCTAAACACTTTCTTGTTACAGAAATTCCTTTGCAAAAAAAAAAAAAAAAAAAAAAAAAAAAAAGAAAGAAAGAAAAAAAAAGTTTGAGAGGAAGTAAAAAAAAGAAAAAGAAAATCAATTGAGACAAAGTTTAAAATATTTGAATCAAAAAGTAAGAAATTAAGGAAGAATGTGAGAAAAAAATATTTTTTTCCTTTTATTCTTGAATGCCCTTCAGAAAGGTGTAAACTAATAATGATAATAATAACAATAATGATTATACTAATGATAATGATTAATAATCAGTAGGAGAAGTATTTAAGATAGATGATAACTGAATAAAGAAGAAGAGGAGAAAAAGAAAAAGAAGAAAAAGAAAAGAAAAAACACAATAAAGATCAAAAGAAGGAAAAAGTTTTCGTAGATAATTCATTCATAATTTATCAGTCAGCCGTACCAAGGAAATCCGACGCTAGATTAAAAAAAAAAAAAAAAAAAAAAAAAAAAAGAAAGAAAGAAAAAAAAAGATAAGTATTTTATGGTGGACTGTCAGCTGATGTATTGATATCAACAGACTCTAAGGACGACAGAGATGCTCCGCTAATCTTATCTGTTCTTAGTTGGCAAGAACACACAGTATATTATTATTTTTTTCCTGTCTGTCTCTTTTTTTTCACTGTCTCATTCTTTCTATCTTTCTTTTTCTTTCTCTTTCTCTTTTTCATTCTCACTCACTCTCTCTCTTTCTTACTCACTTTTCTCTCTCTCTCTTTCTAGATATTAGATCAATAGACACAGATAGACAGCTAGATAAACTAACAGATAGATGGTAGAAAAACCCACAATGCACACACTAGATTTATTGAAGAAAGTGAGATAACAGTTTCGGAATCGTCCTCTATTCCATCTTCGGGTCTGAAGATAGATAGGCAGACAGATACACAGGTGTGATAAAAATGTATATACGGCAGACAGACATAGGTAGATAGATAGACAGATAAATGATATACAAATATACAAATATACACACAACCTACGTATCTCAAACGTATCACAGTAGAATTTTAAAAATATATAAAATAAAAATAACGAACTTTAAAATAATTTTCTTTCCTTCCCATTCCAAGTTTGCCTCTGGAGATGAGGATGAGGATTTCCAAGAAGTCCTTTAATCCGGAATGTGAACACGAATACAGGGGCTTCTTCCCTGTGATTCCCGGCGAAGTGTCTCACAAGGAAGGTTAGTCTGAGCGAGAGAGCGCGGGGTTATTCGCTTTTTTTTGTTTTGTTTTCGTTTTTGTTTCATTGGCATGGCTTTTTTTATTCATTTTTGTTACGTGTAAAGGGGATTTTGAAGTATGTCAATGATATAAAAAAGAGAAGTATCGAGACATAAAGAGTTAGGAAAGGAAAAGAGTAGAAGGGGAAATGGGTTAAATTTGTTGTAGAAATAACTAAAAGAATAAAAGACAACAATAACAACAGAAATAACATTACCAAAGCAAAAAAAGATAGATAAAAATAAGTAAATAACCCCGCACCCTCACCCAGGATTCGAAATGGGCCCTAAAGTTGAAAACCGACCGATTCCCGCCAAAACCGTCGCCGCCAGACTCTTCAATGAGGATAACCAATGGCCGACTGAGGACCCTGCGGGAGATGCCAATATGCCCAAACATTTCAGGGTATGGCAGCGTGGTATTTTTTTTTTTTTTTTTTTTTTTATAAAGGAGTGTATTTTTAGATATCTGCTATTGATATTTATTTCGTGTTAGTATTGCTATAAAGATTATTAGTAATATAATTTTTTGTTTGCTGATTTTTAGAAAAAACAAATGATTGTTGACATTCATTTGTATATTTTCCTTATTTCTTATTTTCTGGCCTTGTTCCTCACTTTTCGTTCTTGTCTGTCTCCTTGCTTCCCCTTTTCTTCATTTTTCTCTCTCCTTGGACCCCCTCCACCCTTTCTCTCTAATTCTGTCCCAGGCCCCCCTACTCAGGGGTCTACTGTACACTTATGTTTGTTCCAGAATCTCTGAAGTTCCCCCTGAAAGCAGGAAACAGGATGGGCTTTCACACCCTGTTTTTTTTTTTTTTTTTTTTTTTTTTTTTTTTTTTTTTTTTTTTTAGTGAGTTGACCCCCTTAACAGAAGGGATGGCTGTAAACTGCCCCCTAAAGAAGGGGTTCCTGCGCGCTACCAGTGTTTAATCCTGCTATCCCAAAGGGGGAGATTTAGAAGGCAAAATAAAACAGACAGTATGTCACAGCAAAGAATGTCCATTGTAACAAATGGAATTGAATTTTAAAATTTTAAAAAAAAAAACTTTTAAAATCTTTACTCCCTTTTTCTATCTCTCTCCTCCCTCCTTCATTCTCCCTTTTTTTATTCCCCCTTCCTCCCATTCTTCCTCTCTTATTCCCTCTCCATCTCCCTCCACCCCCTTCATTTGATTTATCTCCCTTATTCCATTCCATCTCCCTCCCCTCCCCCTTATTTATTATATTTATTATCTCCCTTATTTCCTCTCCATCTCCCTCCCCCTCCACCTTATTTATCTCCCTTTTTCTCCCCTCCCTCACCCCTTCCACCTTATTTATCATCTCCCTTATTCCCTCTCCATCTCCCTCCCCCTCCACCCCCTTCATCTTATTTATCTCCCATATTTCCTCTCCACCCTCTTCATCTTATTTATCTCCCTTATTCCCTCTCCCTCCACCCCCTTCCACCTTATTTATCATCTCCCTTATTCACTCTCCCTCCCCTTCCATCATCTCCCTTATTTCTCCCTCCCTCCCCCCTTCCACCTTATTTATCATCTCCCTTATTCCCTCTCCCTCCCCCTTCCCCCTTATTTATCATCTCCCTTATTCCCTCTCCCTCTCCCGCCCTCCCTTTCACCCCAACCGCAGACATGGATGGAGGAATACCACAGCAATATGACCGAAGCCTCCCTGGAACTCCTTCGTCTCATCGCTGAGGGGTTCGAGGCGCCCACGGAGTTCTTCACGCCCATGTTCACGGGGAACCACCTGTCCACGCTGCGCCTCATCCACTACCCACCCCGCCCAAACCCGCCGGAGGAAGCGCGTGATGGTGAATATGGTGAGTGGGCGTGGTGGATGGGGAAGGATGGGTAGCTGTGGGGTGAGTGGGCGTGGTGGATGGGGAAGGATGGTAGGGGGTATATGGTGAGTGGGCGTGGTGGATGGGGAAGGATGGGTAGCTGTGGGTATATGGTGAGTGGGCGTGGTGGATGGGGAAGGATGGGTAGCTGTGGGTATATGGTGAGTGGCGTGGTGGATGGGGAAGGATGGGTAGCTGTGGGTATATGGTGAGTGGGCGTGGTGGCTGGGGAAGGATGGGTAGCTGTGGGTATATGGGTGAGTGGGCGTGGTGGCTGGGGAAGGATGGGTAGCTGTGGTATATGGTGAGTGGGCGTGGGTGGATGGGGAAGGATGGGTAGCTGTGGGATATGGTGGGTGGCGTGGTGGGGGAAGGATGGGTAGCTGTGGGTATATGGTGAGTGGGCGTGGTGGATGGGGAAGGATGGGTAGCTGTGGGTATATGGTGAGTGGGCGTGGTGGTGGGAAGGATGGGTAGCTGTGGTATTGCGTGGTGGGGGGAAGGATGGGTAGCTGTGGGTATATGGTGAGTGGGCGTGGTGGCTGGGGAAGGATGGGTAGCTGTGGGTATATGGTGAGTGGGCGTGGTGGATGAGGAAGGATGGGTAGCTGTGGGTATATGGTGAGTGGGCGTGGTGGATGGGGAAGGATGGGTAGCTGTGGGTATATGGTGAGTGGGCGTGGTGGATGGGAAGGATGGGTAGCTGTGGGTATATGGTGAGTGGGCGTGGTGGAGGATGGGTAGCTGTGGGTATATGGTGAGTGGGCGTGGTGGATGGGGAAGGATGGGTAGCTGTGGGTATATGGTGAGTGGGCGTGGTGGATGGGGAAGGATGGGTAGCTGTGGGTATATGGTGAGTGGGCGTGGTGGATGGGGAAGGATGGGTAGCTGTGGGTATATGGTGAGTGGGCGTGGTGGATGGGAAGGATGGGTAGCTGTGGGTATATGGTGAGTGGGCGTGGTGGCTGGGGAAGGATGGGTAGCTGTGGTGGGTATATGGTGAGTGGGCGTGGTGGATGGGGAAGGATGGGTAGCTGTGGGGTGAGTGGCGTGGTGGATGGGGAAGGATGGGTAGCTGTGGGTATATGGTGAGTGGGCGTGGTGGTGGGAAAGGATGGGTAGCTGTGGGCGTGGTGGGGGAAGGATGGGTAGCTGTGGGTATATGGTGAGGGGCGTGGTGGCTGGGGAAGGATGGGTAGCTGTGGGTATATGGTGAGTTGGGCGTGGTGGTGGGTTGTTGGGGTGCGTAGTTGGGTGTAGGAATAGGTGATGGGAGTAATGGGTGGTTAGGTGTTTGGGTTGGGAGAAATGGTGGTTTGGTAGTAATGGGTGGTTTGGTGGTGGGTTGGGTAAGTAAGGGTAGGGGTTTGGGGAGGGTTTAGGTGGGTGGTTGGGTAGTTTGGTGTAGTAATGGGTAGTTGGGGGTTAGTAGTTTGGTGTAGTAATGGGTATTGGGAGGCGTGGTTGGCTTTTGGGTGTTGTCAAATGGGTTGGCAATGGGTGGTTGTGATGATGGGGGTGACGGAATAATGGGATTTTTGTGATGTAATAGGAGCTTTTGAGTCGATGATGAGTGCTTGTGGCGAGGCAATTAAAAATGCAATGGATAAATCAGTAAACAAATAACAAAAAAAGGAAAACAAAATAAAAAAAAAAAAAAAAAAAACTAAACAAGGAAAAGAGGAAAATCCATACAACAAAAAAAGGGAAGAATACGACCACGAAATAACGAGTAAAAATACCTAACAAACCCTCTCTACATCTCGAACAGTGATCCAGACGGCCGAACACAGGGACACGGTGATGGTAACACTGCTGGCCACCTTCAAGGACTACCCCGGCCTCCAAGTGCGCTGGATAGACGACACTCTGCTGGACGTCCCTCACCGCCCTGGCCATCTGGTGGTCAACATTGGCGCTCTCCTGGCCACCATCAGCGGAGGGAAGCTGAAGGCCACGCGACATCGCATCATCGACTGCTGCGGCGACCGGTAAGACCGTTACGGATTCAAATTTGAATTGGGAGGAATGCGTATCCTCCGGTGAATGTAAAAAAAAGAATATGAATTAAAAATATATATCCCTGGATATCAGGGCAGGAATATGATTTTCTTTTCGTTTTTATGTTCTTGTAGTCGAAAGTTGATATATTATTCCATTTGAAATATTCTTCGATTAAATGACTGAATATTAGAGTATGCAGTCTTGTACAGCTACACAGAAAAAATATCGTTAGAAAATCATGCTACACATTCTGACACAAGCAACGATACTTTTTAAAATGTAGTTGTTAATGCAACCAAACTGTTGATATCCCTGATTTTCCAATTACTTTTAGGTATGTGTGCCTTATCTAAATATTGCAAGGCATATCCCCTCCCTTACAAGAATAAAACCATCATCTCACAGTAAATCCACATGAATTCCGGAGCGACCATTCGAGACAAATTCGAAATCCAAAATACCAACCCTTCCGTAACATTAGGTTCTCTTTGTTATTATTGAATGTTTCGACGTCCTTCCTAACAATACTTCTCTGTGTAGCTGTACATACACATATTTTTTTGGTTTAGTAACAGAAATAAAACAGAATATTTCCTCCCTTTTGGTTCAAATTATATAGATACACTTCCCATTCAGGTATAAATTGTAAAAGAAGGTTTACACATTACGATACTTATTACTTAGTTCACTTTACGCAGGTTTTCGGTCCCCTTCTTCTTGGAGCCTCGGTACGACGCCAACATCAACGTGGTCCTGCCCGGTGGGACGCCCGAATTGTCCAGTGACGAGGACGAGTGCGTGGAGTACGGACCTTGGCTGTTCAAGCTGACGACCAGGTTTGCCGAGTACAGAGATCTGATCGAGAGAGCTTCTAAGGAGAGTATCCCTGCCTATTAAGGGATTGAGAAAAGTGTTCTGTGTATTATGTGGATTATTTTTTAAGGTTTATTCTTGGTGATGTGAAGAATTATAGGTTATTGGTATATTCTGAAGATCTTGGTGATGTGAAGAATTATAGGTTATTGGCTGACACTTCTGTTTTAGTAAAAGATATGAAGATAGATTTTATTAACTTTATTCTTGGTGATGTGAAGAATTATAGGTTATTGGTATATTCTGAAGATAGATTTTAGTAGTAAAGGTTTGAGGCAGTAGAGGGTTGTGGTATCTCATGGTGTTTTTTTTATCTGTGTATGTAAGCTCTACTTATAGTGTCTGATACAGTGATGCATATTTTGTACTTTGTGCTATGTATTGTATGTTATTGGATAATATAGTGTAAGGGAACGTGTACATGGGTGGCCACACTGTCAAAGTATCATGGAACACTCCCCAAGAAAGTTAGAGGAATTATGATACAAGATATATAAAAAAAATGCTTTAGATTTACATGATTCTGGTAATGTAATATCGGTAATATTCTCCGTTTTTTTTTCTTTCTTTTTTATCTTTGACCGTCATAATGAACCTTAGTGTGATGCATTACTCCCAGGATTAGAGCTTTGGAGAAATAATCTTGCATTCCTTGCTTGTAATTTCATAGTAGGCCATAGTAAGATATACTAAAAGACCCAAAGATGTTAGTATGTTTCATGCCATAAAGAGTTTTTCTTCATGTAACTGTAGGTGTGGTCATGTAAGAGGCCAAATGCCGAATAAATTTTAATTTGGAGAAAGAGGATCTGTTTATGACTTTAAGTTTTCAGTTACCATACTGACGCTCTGGTCAAAATGTAATTAAGCAATCCTGAGGAATAATTATTTATTGACAGTTGTACATTTCATTAAAGTTATAGCAGAGAGCAAAGAACGAAAGTTGTACATCATCACGCCAGACAGATAAAACGAAATTACACAAAGAAGCATGAAACTATATGAAATAAAAGGACTAGAACTGTAATCCACTGTCTAGAGATCCAGCGCCATGGAATACTGTGGAAGGAAGAAAAACATCAAAGTAATAATTTAAACCGTTATTAAAGAAACACCAACCCAATGGCTGCGTCGTAACAGCTGGTATTTAATAGAGTTTTTCTTCTAAATCCGAAAAAGAAAACAGAAGTAATAATTTAAACCGTTATTAAAGAAACACCAACCCAATGGCTGCGTCGTAACAGCTGGTAATTAAACTTTAAATATCCGACGCGTCACTAAACATACGCTGAGCAATGCAAGTGTAATCGATTAACTGAACTCGAGGTCGTTCGACTTCTCGACGACGCTGTTGAGGTCGAACACCTCGGCGTCAGGCTCGACCATGACCATCCCTTGCCTATCCGGAGGAAGGAAATTGACGGCTGTGTCACGACTCAGGTCCGGCGCCGGGTGTCCCTCGCCTCCTACGGACACCTCCTCCGCGTCCTGGTCGACCTTGTTCCAGGTGTAGGCAGCACTCAGGGGCGCCGGCTGGAAGGACGGGGGGTCGTGGAGGGGGAAGGTTATGGGGCGGAAGTCGAAGTTGCGGAGACTCCTCGACCTCGACGCCTGGAGGACCTGGTGCGGAAGAGGGGCTGTTAGGGGTCTGTGAGGCTCGTGTGGAGGCCTTGCAAACATATCAGAGGGCGTATATGGTAATGTACACAAAATGGAACATAAGCAGAAACAGCAAAACATAAACATTAAAAGTAAGACATACCCTTCTTTCTTACCTTTTACTCCGTGACTCAATTTGCAGAAACTGAAAACTTGACAAGAAGGCAAAACTTGACAAGACAAAAAGCATTTGCACATTAGTTATCAAGACTCATGATGAGGGAATTCATGCCTTCCTCCTCTGGTAGCTTGTCTTCAGAACTTTTAAGGCAAGCAATAACTTCTTGCAAGGCTCAGGAATTTGCGATTGGCACATTCGCAATTACAGTCTCGTATCAAAAGCATACACATAAAAGCTGATGGAAACACATACAGGTGAAAGAAAGCAAGATGGAAGCTACATATCTGCCATTTATTTAGATTTTTTACAGATTAATCAACCAATACAATTAACAGTTCAAGATTCACACTAATTAAACAGCTGATCAAAGTTAATCGCATATCGCGACTAACTATGAAGTGTTAATAAAAAGGAAACACAATTCATGCTAAAAGAAAACACACAGATCTAAGCGGGAACATTCCACAAATGAAAGCAAATGACGCGTTAACACAGACAACATAAAAGTGAGGAAATTCTCTGGAAAGGTTCGAGTGAACGAAGCAAAACGGGTTCATCCACAAGCCAGTCGTGTTCGAAACCTTTGAGCTTCGTTCACAAGAACATCCTATTTTTTCTCACTTAACATGACGTCGGATGAAATTTCGTCACACAACAAAAGCAATCATAAGTTAACAAGAAACAAAAACAGAATGTAGCTCGACTATTATTTTTTTACATTTTTTTGTTTGTTTTGAAATGCTGCAGCGTTGGTGAGCAAAGCGCTCAGGGCACCCTCATGGTAATGCCCAGTAAGGGTGGCGGGAGGTCAAGCTGGGTCAAATGACTTAGCTGTTTTTACTGGCGACTGACCAGAGGGTGACGTTTGTTATCGTCGGTCTCGGAAGATTCATGTCCCTCCTGCAGGATAAAAGAAGGTGGAAAGAGGACGTAACTAAATGATTCCCTTGTGTTCGAAACTCGATTAAAATCTACAGATTGTAAACTTCATCCATTGGATTTGTCTCAGTGGAGGAAATGACTAAAATGCGAATGCGCCGTTACTCAAACTTAGTATATGCGCAAAATGAAGCGCGGAAGAATAAGCACAATACTGCATTTGCAGAACGAAGAAGCTACAACTGTTTACGTATGAAATTATTTCATATATGAGATAGAACAATAAAAGAGAATATCTTGTTATGAAAAATGTCTATATATCATATCAACAGCTTATCCATATAGCTAATAATTCATCCAACATGACCTGGCTTCCGTTTATACAAAAAAAACCCAGCCAACGTACATAAATATAAGAAATTAACTAACCTCATCACGCTCAGTTGTGTCCTCGGCGTCTTCTCCGCTGTTCCTGGCGCTTAGAGATGGGTGTCCGACCTGAAATATGGATACATTATAGGTGTTAAACCGTCGTTGTGAATGAAAATAATAACCGTTTGTTAGAAAAAAATTATATATCATAGTATCTTATGGCGTAAGATTATAGGTGTTATTCCGTTGTTGTGAATGAAGTAAAATACAGTTCGATGTTTGTTACTATGATATAATATATATTATATAGTTTAATGATGGTAATACACTGATTCGTAGTTGTGAATAATAGATTAAAAAATACATTTTAACTGTTATCCTGTTTTGGAAATAAAATAAAATACTGCTTGTTAGAAAAAAATGTTACCGTGGTTTCATATGACGTAAAATCATGTACTTCAATAGTGATAATAATTACATTTTAATTACATCTTAATTACAGCTTTTTCATCCATAAAACGCAATTTGTCAATTTCCTGTTGGTTTTGTTTCATATAACGTAATATTACAGAGTTTAATGATGATAGTAATGATCATAATAATTACTGTCAACCTAAATCACTATTGTAGTTATTACTATTAGTTAATGGCTGTTATACTAATTACCACCATAAATCATTATTGTCGTTATTATTATTACTATCAGAGATAATTACTGTTATACTAACTACAATCATAATTATTGTCGTTATCATTATTATCAGAGATACTGTCATACTAACTACCCTCAATCCTTATTGCCATTATTATTATTACTATAGAGATAATTATTAATTGCTGACATACTAATTACCATAATAATTAACGATCATCATTGACTTACCTGTGCCAGGGCGCTGGGGCCTTCGCGGAGAACATGGGGAATCTGCGAAAAGAAATGAAAGAAAATGAAAGAAAAAGAAAAAAAAGAAAACAAAAGAAAAAGAAAAAAAAAGAAAACAAAAGAAAAAGAAAACAAAAGAAAAAGAAAGAAAAAATGGAAGGAAATACGGGAATTTTAGTTTACCAAGTCGCGTTGTACAGGAACAAATGAGATATAAAAGAATTAAGAAGATAAAATGAATAAGAATGAGGTAAATTATTTTGATTAAATGAGATAATGTATTATATCAAAGAATTGTCTAAATTAATCATGGTATCGAAGATATTCTGAATATTGAAGTATTAACTGCTTTAAAACAAAGTGCTGTATTATTGAGAAAAGAAGGAAAGAGAAGTGAGAAAGGAAGTAGAAAGGGGGAGGAGGAAGAGGAGGAGGAAGAAGAAGAAGAGGAGGAGGAGGAGAAGAGAAGGAGGAGGAGGAAGAGGAGGAGAAGAAGAATGAGTAGAAGCAGACGGAGGAAGAGGAAGAAGAAGAAAGAATCATGCGCATGTGGCACCACTTCAGAATAAAGAAAGAAAAAAGAAAATAAGGAGATGAAAAAAAGAGAAAAAAAGACTGCTCTGTCGACAGCTAGTACTTACGGGGATTCCAGATCGCTGTGTGGGCCTGAGGGGTCTGATGGTGGAGGTCGTGAGCCCTGGAAGATCAGTTAAAAAAAACTATTTAGAATTCACTGATGAGAGAAAGGAAAAGGAAAAGCAGCGAAGAGAAAAATAAATAAAGAAAGAAAACGGAGAAACAGAAAAAAAAGTAAAGAAGAGGAAAAGAAGAAAAAGAAAAAAAAACAGGTGAAGAAACACGCAAGAATTTACAGTTAGTTCCATGGTTTGCGCTACTCACTCAATGATTAATTTTGTTTATTAACTCTTAAAAGACACTCATATGGCTTTATACGATGGATACTATACCGAAGCAGTTTCACATTAAGCTTAAGCGAAAAAGCTTCGAAATCTTCACCGTAAACGAAGCAAACGTTATAAACACGTTCTGTATCAACTAAATATTTATCCAGACCCTATAAAAGGTAGAAAGAATAAATATTTGTCCGAACCTCTATAAAAAGAACCAAATATGACGGGAAATCCACCCAGACAGGACTAGATATCTGTTTCCGGGCGACGAAACACGTGGTAGAAGGTTAAACATTACTCAACGACATTGATGTTTTTATTTTTTTTTCTACTACGGGTTTTGAAGTAACTACTATTACGATTTGCTTGACTTTGAGGGGGTGAGATATACGATAGGGAAAGGAGTAGGAAGTGGTGAGAATGACGCTATTATTCTGAATTAATTTTGTGAGGTGGCTTGTCCGTTGTGGTCTATCTTTAGCGAGAGATACAGCGGGCCGTTTTTCGAAATGAATGACCGTTACTGTGTATGAATTTCAAATAAATAACACCAAACTAAAAAAACAAGTGTCTAATCTATTTTGTTCAGATTTTACTGTTATTAATTTCCTATTTCCTAAGCAGGATGAATATTTTTATCGAGAATCGTTGTATAATTAGAATATATAATCGCTACAATTTTAAAAGAACTATTAATAGATAACTTGCAACTCTCGGTGGGATTAGCATAATAATTAACCAAGCATTAAAAATGTCAATTAGCTAAAATGGCGTTTTTTTGCTTGTTTCTCCTTCAGCCAGGGAAGGAAACAAGTCATATTGGTGTTACAGGGAACGATCGCAGGTTGTCTATGATACGTTCAATCACCTCTCTCTCTTTTA